TTTTCCTTGAGGAGTTAGCCTTTGCCTGGGTTATTTGACATGGGGCTTTTTAGGGAGGAAGAGTGACATTATTTGTTCTACATCTGAAACTGGTTTACATCTGCCTGAAGCCAGCCTAGAGACATCCAAATCCCTTTTGTCTGTGAGTGAATTGGAAATAAATCTGGGTGATGAACCTGATCGCTATATCATCGCACAGCAAATCTTCTCATTCTTATGAAAGGACCTCTATTATGTCATTTTTTTTTCCAGGATGGGAAGGAAAAATAGTCATCATTGCTTCTTTGCCCCTGGGTATTATAAACATTTTTTCTGTTATTGTAAATTTAAAAAAAGTTACTGTACGAGAGAAGATAACTTAACCCTCTTTTCCCCACCCTATTCCTGACCAACTATCTTTCTTATTATTTTCTCCCTTGTTGAATTTACTGAAATTTCTTTTCCTGTGGCTATTGCCTTTATGGGAGTTTTTACAATTTTAATAATACAATCAAGCTTGACGTATTATATACCTCCCTTTTAAAAGTACATCCATTTATGGCACTTTTGCCGTCATTTGTATAGCATGATGTAGTGGAAAGTGCCAGAGAAAACTCTTAATATGAATTCTGAATTTGGCATTTGCTTGTTTTTGATTTTGAGCAAATCGGTGAAGCTCAGTGAGTCACATTTACCTCATTTATAATATGAGACTGATGTTAATTACAGTATATGGATAATGTAAAGATAGAAAGATAATATATTTAAGATGTCTGTAGATAGCCAATAAATAATAAGCATGTGTCAGGCAGCTTGACACAATAGGATAACATCATGGCTTTAGAGCCATTTGGTCCTTTTAGGATGGCATTATTGTCCCTGTGCAAGTCACTCCTCATTCTATAACCTTCCTCTCCCTTCATAAAATGGATATCTTAGTCATTATTGTAGATTATAAATGAAAAATGTGAAGTTCTATCTTGCTGGTGCTAGCAACATAGCAAGTACTTGTTCTTGTATTATTTGTTGCTAAAATCTTTAATGGGTTGCCTTTTTAACACATCCATTTATCCCTGATTTATTTTTTTGCATTTCAGGTTTTGTATCTTGATTTTATTTTCGTATTTATGGACATCTGTGTGCACGTGTGTGCAGATTACTCATAAAAACAATTTATGTCTTATATTCCACATATTTTCCTCTTAAGAATTGAATAACATATGTGTAGGAAGCATTTTTAAAGGTCAGCCCTGGATTACTATTGCTCTTCCTTATTCTTTTAATTCAATAGATAAGCCCAAGGCAGAGTGAAATGAATCTTGATGGCCAATGTATTTCAGCTAGAAAACGATTTTCTATGAGTAAGAGTATCATTTTCACCTGAGCTGAGAAGTTGGACTATTTGTGATTATCCTCCACCATCTAGTTAAAGCAATGTGTTGAGGACAGGTTGTCCTGGATTTAAATTGCCGCTTTACCACTTAGTATGTTTATGATTTTTTGTTACATAGTCACTCTGCTGATCATCTTTTTCATCTCTAAAATCCAGATAATGACATTTCTTAATAACCAGTGAGATGCATATATAAAGCAACTAATACAGAGTTTGAAAATAGGTTTGACGTTACACTATGAACAGTTGATTAGTGGGATGATGGAGTAATGTGTTAAAGCTGCTAATGAGGCTGAGAGAACAAGTTCTGCATGTCCATATGTGTAGAATAGGAAGAGTGGATACATATAAGTAGGACATTGCCACTTGTAACTCGGTACTCCAATTCATAGTTCACACTTAATGTAGAACTACTACTGTAATCATTTGCTATTAAGATACAATGAATGATTACATGAAGTTTTTCCAAGTTAGAATGAATGGTATCTAAAGAAACTGGTTATTTATCAGTTTTCATATGCTTGCCAAGATGCATGGTTACATTACATATTTGTAGCCCTTTAATATTTCCCTATCTCACAAACCTTACAAATTATGAGTGCTTACTGAAGGAAATGGACCATCCACTGATTACTTAGTAAATTAATATTTTCTTTCAAAATAGGTTTCAATAATGATAGATTTCTGACATGGGTAAAAAGCAGTCCTATATTCTGAAATGAATTTTAGACCTTAGTAAATGTAATGAAAGTTTGAATCTCAAGAGCACTCTGAATTTGGGCTTATTGTATATTCTTTTTCTGTACAGAGGTCCTACTGTTATTATTCTAAAAATAAGTTACTTTTTTTTTATAAATAAGAAGTGGAAGCCACATTAAATGTGGTAGCTGTACAACTTTAAAAACTGTTCTGTGAACACTTGGACAGGCGAATTAGAAGTAGAATTTCATGTTGATTACAAATACAACCCCTGATGCGGGATCATCTGCCTTATATCTTGTGATCTGTTTTTTATAGATACAGGTTTAGGCAAACTTAGTCATTAATCATTTTATTTTTTTTATTTTTATTTTTTTAGTTGTAGGTGGACACAATACCTTTTTATTTTATTTATGTGGTGCTGAGGATTGAACCCAGGGCCTCACACATGAGAGGCAAGTGCTCTACCACTAAGCCCCAGCCCCAGCCCCCATTAATCATTTTAAACCTCTTAATGTTTGTGTCTTAGGGCTTGCATTTTTTCTGTGGTATAAACCATATCTAGTATTATTTTTGTATGAAAAAATACCTCACTTCTCCTAAGAAAAATTATTTACCTGGAAACATTTGTTCAATACCCCCCCAAAATCTATCTGATAATATATCAGTTTTTATAGAGGTATTAAAGTATAAACAAGAAAATTATTACAGAAATTTTGGAAAACTAAAAAAAAAAAAAAAATCCATTCCCAAACTCATTCTAATAACTAAAAGCATTTTTTTGTGTGTGTGTGTGTATATTCTTTCCTATTCTTTGGTCTTTACTTCCCTGTTTTTTTGCATCTTATCCTAAACATGCATTTTATCTGTTAATGTACGCATGTTTTGTACTTTGTGTGGGGCGGGGGACAAACAAACATGTTTTCACCTCTCTTTTTTATGATGGTGTAGTTTACAGACTGTTCTGAGAAATAAATACAAATATATATGTTTGAGTAGATACATACATTTTTGTTCATATTATACATTATTTGTCATCAATTTTTTTCTTTATTTTTCTCTTTTCTTTCTTTTCTCTTTTTTCTTTTTAACTAACCAGCCAAGCATAGGGCATTTAAAAGGTCAGGAGACTCAAACTAATTTAATTGATCAGACATATTTGTACTGACAGTTACTGTGCTAATAAAAAAAAAATGTGACTTTTCAAAAGGTAGAGAGTTTTTCTTTGAAGCAAAAAAGTGACAGCCAATGTGGGTAATACATTAGAAAAGGATTCTGTGCTTCTAGTGGAAAAGACTATAATGATTATGATTGGTTAAGCTACAAAGGTCTCTCTGGGAAATAATATGTTACTAAGCTATTTCCTGGTGTCAGAAACTGAATAGCATCTACATTTGTAATGTTTATTAAACTACAATATTTAACTTAAATATACTAGTCACATTAAAATATAACTTTTTTCTATAGGTTGAATATCCCTCCTTACTCTATTAAGAGGGAAAGGGTAATGACAATAACCAATCAGCTGGTACTCTTTTGGCTTTACGTCCATATTTTTTCCTGCTTGGTTGTTATTGAAATGCTAATAAGTTTTGTAGCTAAAATTTGTATAACTTGAAAGTAATAACCAATGACTGCAAGTCCCCAGAGTAGCTTTGCACAGGATTAAAGCTGAGCATGCTTAATTGTCACACATTCACTGGATTTTCCAAATGAAACTGGTAAATTTTATTTACATATTGATATAATAATTATCTACGAGTCTATAAAAATTATTGTAATATTATAATTTTTGTATATTGACATTATTTACATATGCAAATTATTCTGAAAAAAGTTGAAACTTAACACCATTGTTTAATTCCAAAACATTTTCAACCTTTCTTAACATCGTCATATTACCTTGGAGGGTAGGATGTCACAACTCTTTCCTGAGGTCCCTATGTAGGGTTCTCTACTTAGTAGCTATTCAGTAAATACTTGAACTTCCAAAAGAATGAACGAATGAATGAATGTGAACAAAAAAGAATAAATGTACAGAAGGAAGAACCAACTTGTGTCTCAAAAAACAAATAGTGACAAAGGACCTGTGCTTAAGAATCAGACACTAGTATGGCAGTATGCATAAACATGGCAGTATAACCAATGTGATCCTGCAATCTGTACACGTGGGAATAATAAGAATTCATACCCCATTTGAAACAATATATGATATATGATATGTCAAGATCAATGTAATGTTTTGAGCAACTAATAAATTTCTGATGTTTAAAAAAAAAATGAATTGTGATGCATTCCACTGTCGTGTATTTAAAAAATAAAACCAATAAAAAAATAAAAAGAAAGTAAACCAAAAAAAAAAAAAAAAGAAAGTAAAAGAATCAGATGTCACTAGGTTAAAAATCAAAGCTGTACTACTTAACCAAATTTTTAGCAATAGCTATTTCACTTCATAGTCCAATCACAAAGTTTTTCATTTATTAAATGAAAGTCATAATGACTTATTTGGAAATCAAATGAGAAAATGAATGAAAGTACTTGCCATAGTATCTGAAATCCCATGGAATGTAAACATGATAATGATGGTGGTGGTGTTGGTGGTGGTGATATTGCAAATGTTGTTGAAAAGCCTAGTGTCAATTTTTTTTTTGAATTTATAACTTTCATTATAAATTTAAATTTATTTTAACTGATATATAAGCAACCTTAAGATTATACATATTTATGTGCTACCATGTGTGCTGCATCATATAATGTTGAAATCAGAGTAAACATATCTCACTCCTCGAACATTTATTATTTATTTATTTTTAAAACATTCAATTTCCTTTTTTCTCATTTATTGAGACGTTATCTGTAGTCATCCTGCTGTTCAGTAGCTCACTAGAACCTGCAACCTCAGTTTGATCTTCAGAATTTTTTTTTCCAGGTGAAGCATACATGCGATTAAGCAAGCTCCCAGAAGCAGAGTATTGGTATATGGAATCACTGAAATCCAAGACTGACCACATCCCTGCCCATCTCACCTACGGGAAACTGCTAGCTCTAACAGTGAGTAACTACCTTCCTCACTCTTTACAAGTTGGTTTTCCCCATGTGTATCTGGATAGATACCTTTTGAGGTAGTGATTCTGAACCTGTTAACACAGGTGAGGACTTAATGACAGTGATATTATTAGAACCCTGTACGGAAATTATAGAATATTTATTATCCAGTATTTGGCCTAGATAAGATCTGACATGTGATTTAATGGAAAAAAAAACTAAATGGAGAACTCCATATATGTGATGACATAATGACTGTGTCCTAACCGCAATATATGCATAAATATTATGTTCTACAAACCAACCTTAGCCCTAAATTGGTTGTAATTAGAGCTAAATCTGATTATTTCAAATGACCATCATCATATAAAACTTCATAAGTGTTGGAATTCCATCTAATAAAATCTTCTATAAGACAAGTGGAGGATACCAGTTGGCCACCCACTGTGACAAACACTCCCTAAGGGCACAGTTTTGTGAAACTGGTGTTAGATGAATCGCGTAAGAAATTGATGATATTCTACCATTGTGAGATACAAAACTGGTGAGATACATAAAATAATTTTATGTATTTAAAAGTAATTTTCATGTCTTTATTTTACACAATAGGGGATGGTTAAAAAAATTAAGCTTTCTAAACTCACACAGCTAAGTAGTAGAATTAGAGTTTATTCCTAATATCTGTATTCACCTGATCTCTCCAGTGTTAATAAAAATTTGCATATTAGATAAACAGAGAGCAAATGGTCAGGAAGGTGAATCCAAAGTGAATTCAAAGATAGGAACTAAAACAAATTATTCGGTGAAGCTAACTTGAAGAAACCTTTTAGAGATGGTGCCATAGCATATCGTTAAGCAGGATGCTCTGAAAAAATACAAATACCAAAAAAGAAAGAAAGAGCTTTTAGAAATAAAAATATGATAACATAAACAGAAAAAAATAGGAAATAAAAAGTATGAAAAAAGACATTGTGAAAGAAATCACTGTGGAAGTCCCAGAAGGAACAGAAGAAGAATAGGAGATCATAACTCAGATTTGAAAGGTACAAATTGCTGTTTCTGTTTAGAACATCCTAATATATCTTGTTTAATCACTTACAAAAATAATTGTTGTACCTTATGAAAATCATTCCTGGTACCCATCCTGATGGGATAATGTTTCACACAATTTTATGTAAGAAAAGAATTCCTATACTTTTTGTTTCTCCTACTATCTAAGCTTTTGTTTTGGAATGAAAATGGGAATATTTTTAATTAAATTGCTAAATGGTCACCTTCAAAAATAACTATAAGTTACTGATTTCTGGATTCAACCCCCCCCCAAAAAATGTTGGAAATGAAAAAAATTGAAGGATTAATATACATAATTCTAATTCTGAATATGCCTAGACCATGGTACTGGATATAGAAACCATGTGTTTTTTTTTTTTTTCAAGGCCGAATATTTTAAGTTTCCTATACCAAAAGTATAAATTTAAAGGCTGCTTTCTTCTTTTTAGAAGTTTTTTAAAAAAATACACAAGATTTAAAAGTTTTACTTTACAGAAACATATGGAAGAGAAGGAAAGACTCATGTATTACAATCCAAATTTTTAATTTTTCCCCCCTCTAAGAGTTTTATAGTTTCCAAATTGCTGATTAAATGAAATACAAACCCCATTATGGAATGGCTTAAACTAACAAGGCCAAAACCCCACAACCATCTTTAATAGTTTCTTTGTAAATTAAAGATTTGGCAAATTTCTGATCCCAGTGGATTTTTTTTTTGGGGGGGGGGTGTCTAATTATGGATTTTTTAGCCTGGTAATATGCCGTTAACCTAACGTGAAATTGACAAGGTGGAAAATGCCACACATTTGACTTCTGGATGTTTTAAATGTAGTATGAAATGGAATTGGTTTCTAGTCTTAACAGAAGAAGAATAGAAATGGAATTGTTGTGCGTTTTACCCTTTGGTCAAAAGTAACCAAAAGCAAACTATGTAAAATGGACTTGTACCTATAGTAAATTTGTACTGTAGAGTAGGGTTTTTATATAAGAATTATATTTTTTATTAGACAAATTAGAGAAAAATGATTATTAGTACTTTTATTATAGTCAGTGGAATGATTCACTCAATATACTTTTTTATAAGTTTTTTTCTGTAAGAATTCATGTAATATTTATAGTATTTAGAAAAGTTCAAAGGGATTTGGGTTTCCCAGAATGCCTTAGAACATTCTATAGATCATATCCTTTTTTTTATTCCTCTGCCAAAAATGTCCTTTTCCTTTCTCTGCCTGTTGAAATTTTATCTCCTCTGTGAAGTCTTGCCTGTCTCTCTCAAGCAGTTATATATATATTTTTCCCCTTCTCTGAAGTTCCTTTCACATTGCTCTGAGTATCATCAACATTAGCACTTCCAAATTGAATAGCACACATAAATCTGTGTCTGTCTTTTGACACTGGGCATGGGACAGGTAATAAGTCTTTACTGATAGTTTTATTTCTTTAGTATGTGGCATTTCACTGTCTTGTCTTTTTAAGTTGTTGAAGAGTTAGGTACAAGGCTTTTTAAAATACTTGTTTATCCCTAGTCTGACGTCCTCAGTTCCTTAATTTATTTGACATATTTATTTAGATTTATCACTCCATGCCAGGCATGGATGAGAGTGATGTACTGAGAGAGTAGACACAGAGTCATCTTCAGAAATGCTTGAAGGGGAGGGGACATAGAAGAGATGTGCATCTCCTGAATTCCTGTGCTTGACATGTTATTCCACAGAAGCTTGACAACCTTTATTAGCAAATATTATCTCCTTTCTATAAATGAAGAAACTGAGCTTCAAGGATTTGAGGAACAGTCCCCAAAAGTTACTCAACAATTTAAAAATAGAATTAAATCCAACCTCAAGGTTTTCTGAATGTGTCACTGATTTTCAATCTATATTAAATAATTTTAAGTATGGAATTTTTTTCCCCTTGGTATGCCTGATGGCACTGATTGGTGATTCTTAAAAATAAGTCACTATGTCTCCCCTACCCCTTTTTAAAACTTATTTTTAGACTTTGCCTTTAAATACTAATTTAGTTTGTGTGGTTAAACACATTTTTTTTTAATTAGGTGTGAGAGGTCATGAACATAGGACTTCGGTTTTAGGCTATCGTCACTTTTAGATCCTACATTTTACTTCAAATACAAATTTTCCAGGGTCCCCTGGGCAATACTTCTACATTAAAGTCACTAGTAGCCTCCATGCTAATACAGTTGGACCCAAGTGACATCTCTTTTAATTTATTTGGAACTTTCATACCAATGTCATGTCCAATTAAAATACTAAACACAAGCTGAGTTGGAATTGCTGTGCTTAAAATCGTGATTTATTTCTTGTTTGAACTTTGTTACCTAGGGCTAATGCCATGAATTTAAAATTGGACATGCATTAAGAAAGGAAGGAATAACATTTCCATTATTATATTTCAGATAATTCTCTAGTTGTTTCTAAAGCCATGTGACTTCTCTAGCTTTGTGCACATGCTTGCTTTTGAAATTTTTGTCTTTTTTTCCTGTTGAGTTTATTTAAGCCAAATATTTTGCAGCTTTTGTGAGCCAATAAAATTAATATTGATTTAAATTGTAATAAAAACTACTTGGCTGTTAGCTTATTTTCCAGATTTAGGTTAGTAGGAGAGAAGGAAGGATATTGGAGACTCCGACAGTGATTCTTGATACAGAAAACCTTTATTTTGGCTACTGCATGGGAACAGTGAGCCAGACTTCTGTGTCTAGCCAAAGTTAATTGGGCTACATAAAACTCCAGTTGTGAAAGTACTTGAGGTTCCACAGAAAAACCCCATGCCGTAGGCTAAAATGGTGTCAGTGTATCTGAAAGGACAGAGCTGTCTGTTCCTATTGATCTTTTATTATTACTATTTAGAGTTGAGTTGTTGTTGTTTCTAATTTGGTTTTGTTCAGAGCTACGTTTTTTCAATTATGCTGGTTGACCAACATTGAGGTTGCTTTATGTGTTTTATTGTAATCACTGTACAGCCATGTTTAGATTGGAGAGAGAGGAGAACAAAAGGTAATTTTCCCTATAGTTCTTATTCACTGATTATTATGCATATAGCCAAGTTGCAAAATTATTTCTTCGAGGAGCAAAGACATAATATCACACTTTCCATTGCTACTGAAATAGATGAAATAAAGAAGGAAGTTTAACTCTAGTGCAATATTCAGCTAAGTTTTATGCGGAGTTGCCTTATCTAAACTTTATTACTTACTATTTTAGAAATCATATAGTTATTGCTATATTATTTTTACTCTGACGAATAGTGAGTCTGATGGTTCATTTTTTAGGACTCCCTTCATCAATTCAAGATATTTTTTTATCTAGTATCAATCTTATAAAAACTCTAAATCATTATGCCACTAAGTGACAGGAATCCAAATCTCTCTAAAATATCCCAGAAATGTATTCTCCCTTTTGTACGTCAGAAGTTATCATTAGAGATATTTTTCTTTTGCCAGATAGTCTCAGAAAAAAAAAAAATTTTAAATGCTCAAATTCTTTGACATTAAAATCTGCATGAAAAAAATTATGGCTATTTTGTATGTAAATAAATGTGTTGCAGTGTTCGAAAAGAAATATTTGCTTTTTATTTATTTGTAAATGATATTATACTGCTTTTTAAAATTGCCCACATTTTATTTTTGTTATTTTGTTGGCTTGGTTGGTTAACTTTTGTATTTGGTCTGTAGTTTTTATTTGATGCAGTTTAAATAGCCAGCCAGCTCAAGCCCTCATGATCCCTTGAAAATTCTGATATCCAAGTTTTTGGGGAGAGATAGCTGGAGAATTGACATGCCTCTTAAATAGAATGTGATTCTTGGAGAACTCAAATAATATTAGCTTTACAAAAACCTGCATTGGATACATATCTGCTGTCTCCAAACTATGTCTCAGCTGTCTTATAATGCAAAGACCAATAGGGTATTTTCTTATCTTATTATAAGCATGGGATCA